GAATATTTCCATATCCTAACCATCTACCCAAGGATCTCTTAACAATATAAAACAGTAAGGCAGCTAAGGATAAAGTCCCTATACGAAGAGAAAAGAAGTTAAATCCTACTACAACTGGGAGATCTATACAAGCCCAAGAGGTAACCCTTATAAATAAGAGATTAAAGACCCCAGGTATACACTTTTAACCTATTGACTATTACTGCCAACACTGTGCACACACCCACGTCTTGGCTATAAGCCTATTGCTTGTGCGCATTGATTAGGACATCGACTATAAGCTTAGTATACATCTGATTATACAGTATCTCTGAGCGCATACCATACGGTCTTTCCAGGACCGAACAGATATAATATATCTCATGTTTTAAGAGATAAATTTATCTTTTACACATATATAAAAGTATATGGGATACATGCTTTTTTTCTCTTATCTCTTTTTCTCACATTGATCCACATAGATCTCACATATTTTTATGTATGTGTATAAAATAAATGGAAAATATTATGTTTGTAAACTTTTTGTTTACAAACTCTTTCAAACTATATTATTTTTGAAGATTACTTTTCTAAATAAGTGTATTTTTTGGAATAATTAGTGTAGTTTGTAAATAAGAAATGTGTAAATATAATTCTCTTCAAGATAAATTTATCTCATACAACTTGAGAAACATTAAATTTATCATTAAAATATCAAAATAAAAATAATAATTATTGAAGAGAGGGGAACACGGTAGCTAATATGCTTGCCTTCCACGAAAATGACTGGAGTGATTGGGATATTCATCTCCTTCATGAAAGCATGAGATTATTTATAGTGAACTGTGACCACCATTTTTTAGGTGGTCCCTTAGTGTAAATAGGAGGATAAAATTAGAAAAGAAGAAAAATAACAAGGGTAAAAAGGAAAATAAAAAAGTAATGATGTGAGAAAGAGCACCAAAAGATTCACTAATCCTGGACCTTATTAAATATTCCCCCTGAGTAGGGTTTGATGGGCATTTCCAACCCAAAACTTTGTCACATTTGATAATGTATTTTTCTTATTTTTTATTATAAAAAAGGTCTATATAAAAAAAATCAAAACTAAAGTTGTGTACGGATGAATGAAAGAGATTCTGTACGGGCATTTGTCGAATATGCCGCGATCATCATATTTGCCCGTAGATCGCGGTTTTGTTATTTTGAGTCAAAAACGCAATAAAACAATTACAGCACACTCCAGCGTAGTTCTTCGAAAGTTTAACTACTACGCTGAAGTGAGAATAAAACTAATTATTTAATTTTGATTTTGTTATTTGAGTCATTTTTTTTTTTGTACGTAAGTCATTAGAATCTTTAGTTTGACTTTGTCATTAATGTACATCAATAGCTTATGTTATGGAATATATCCATATCCTAACTACTTACTATCCCTTAATGGATATTGACACAATTATCTTAACAGTATAAAATAATAAAGATAAGAGGCAAAGCTCTTCTTCCAACAAATAAGAGGTTGAATTCTACAATAATTGAGAGATCTGCATAACCCAAGTCTAAAAGATAATCCTATAAATAAAGGTTAAAGAGTACTTCAGGTACACACTTGAAATCTATTTACTATTACTGTCAATATCGTGCACACACCCACGTTTTGGCTACACGCACATTGATAGTGCGCAGTAATTGAAGTATTGACTATAAGCCAATTAGGATATCTATCTTCAAGATATCTCTGAGCGCATACCCTACGGTTCAATAATACAACTGAACAACTTAATTTTGTAGTTATTTTATATGTTATTGGAGTCTTTAATTTGATTGGGGTGTTTGATCATTCTCAATATCATTTTTGAAAGGAGTTTAAAATTTTAATTATGAACCCATCATGAATCAGACTGACTGTGAAACGATGAATCAATTAGAAATATTTTAAAAGAATAGAGTCTTTATTTTGACTTTGTCATCCCATGATAGAGTAGGTTTTCAATACCCTGCAATATTTTTTTTATTAAAATTAAAATAAATGAAATTTGTGTGTCTCAAAAGTATAATTTTAAGTGATACAATTATTAATTTGTCTTCATGTAATATGTTTTTATGAAAGTTGGTTGGTTTGACAATGTAACATTAATTAAAAAAATGAGTGATATAATATAATTAGGTGAGTTATTTTTTTATATCCAACTATGCTTTTTTTTTTTTTTTTTGCGAGATCAGGGAAAGATAAAAGACAAACTAGCTAGGATCATTGTGCTGTTGACAAACATCAAACAGATCCTTTTCCTTTTCTACAAAGCTCCTGCAGTCGTCAGGGACGTTAATAACAATATTGACTCCGGGAATAAATTTGTAAATATAACTCTTTTTAAGATAAATTTATCTTCTAAAATTTGAGAAACATTAAACTTATTATTAAAATATCAAAATAAAAATAAGAAATATTGTTTGCTCTATAAATATCTTTTGAGGATAGCATATGTTGAAAATTTGTGCTTGTATTATTAGAAAAATAATTTGTTGATCGATCTTTTCTCTTTTGAATGTCAAATTAAATAGATGTTAATTATAAAAAAATAACTGAGGCTGTTGATAAGAGCAGGCAAATAAAAATTAAAGTTGTGTACGGAATACGGATGAATGAAAGACATGCTGTACGGACATTTGTCGAATATGCTGCGAATTGCGATCATCATTTTGCCCGTACATCGCGGTATTGTTATTTTTAGTAAAAAAAACAATAAAATAACAACTACGCTGAAGTGAGAATAAAATTAATTAATTAATTTCGAATATTATTCAATAGCTTAAATTTTTAGTTATTTTATATGTTATTAGAGTAAGTTTTCAATACCCTGCAATACATATTTTTTTTTATTAAAATTAAAAATAAATGAAACTTGTGTGTCTCAAAAGTATAATATAAGTGATACAATTATTAATTTGTCTTCATTTAATATGTTTTTATGAGAGTTGGTTGGTTTGACAATGTAACATTAATTAAAAAAAATGGGTGGAATGATATAATTAGGTGAGTTATTTTTTTATATCCAACTATGTTTTTTTTTTTTTTTTTGGAGATTAGGGAAAGATAAAAGACAAACTAGCTAGGATCATTGTGGTGTTGACAAATTAACACCCAACAGATCCTTTTCTACAAAGCTCCTACAGCCCTCAGGGACATTAACAACAATATTAATTCCCCAATAATCATGGTTGACATTAGCAGCCAACCAATTATATCCAACTATGCTTGCGTCTATTAACATATATGCATACTATGGATTTAGTAGAGTAAAATCAACTTTCGAGAAAAGTATATATATGTTTTAAAAATGTGTGCATAATTTCACTACGAGTTGGAAGTTTAATGTAGTTAGTTTATTAAAAAATTGTTAAACAGATAAATATAACATGTATTTCTTACCGAAGAGAATTGAAATCCTATTCTAACTATGTCGCAGTTATTTGTTGATAATTAAGTAAATATTAGCACCAGTGATTGTAATCAGTCTCAAGGCCGAGGAGATTGTAGAAATTATATATGCTCAACATAAAGGTGTTGGCACATAACAATTATACACACAAATTGCAGATAGAAAAAAGAAAATGGAAAAAAGAATAAAGACACAAATTTAATGTTTAACTATATTTTTCTTATCGGGTTGGTTACAAAGAGTCTGTTTACAATGAAATATAAATAGGCACTACTAAAACCTTAGGCAACATAGTTATTCATAAATGTAAATATAAATTACTAAAAATGAGAAAAATAAAATAAAATTGAAACACACAATAGTAACAAGCCTTCACAATTCTAGGAGCACGGCTCCCATTCCCTGCTTGGGAGGAGAAGGTTTTTTGTGGGCCTGAATTATAGTAGTTTTTCTTCAAAATAGAAAAAAAAAGAGGGATTGAAGAGAAAAAAAATAAAAAAGATAAGGATAAAAATAGAAGAAATTTTTTCATTTATGATAAAGAGATCACTGTAGGCCTAGAGTATATTAAATTTTTTCCCTTGAGAGACTGCCTCGAACTCAGCCCGCTCACAATTAATTTTCTCTTGATCCTGTGAGCAAAAATCATCATTTCAATGTGAAACATGGATTATACCCATATAAGGGAAGCTTTTATGCCCTTAATGGCAGCAAATAAAAGTACAAGGGTATTTTTAATGGCAGTCAATAAAAGTACGAGGGTATTTTTTTTGCGTGTGAAAGGATAATGGGAATTTTTGCGGATTTGAAAGATCGAAACAGACAATTTAAAAAAATAAAATAAAAACAGAAACTGAGATAACACAAGAAAGAACATAAAATCATATTATTTTTTGTGTTTTATAGTGAGAAAAACAAAACTCATAATAAGAAAAAGTGAGAGATTTTATTTTTTAATTTAAATATAAAATAAAAATAAAAAATTTAGTTAAAATGATTGTCTTTTAAAAGAATAATTTTTTTCCCTATAACACAATTCAAAATGCCAAGAGGGTTGTACCCAAAAAACTTAAAAAATAAAAAAATAATTAATGCCAAAGGGCTACGTAATACGTAAGTTGACTTCAGACTCTTATAAACGTACGGTTAGAATCTAAAAAGCGAACCAATTTTATCGGATGTCAAGAGTCTTCTATTTTAATTTTTAATTTTTAATTTTTTTTTGGAGAAGAAAAGAAAAGTATAAACCGCGGACAATTAAAGTTTTTTTTTTTTTCTTTCATTCTGAGAAGACTTATAAAGTATAATAATATATAAATTAAGTGCCTTTGTTTGCACGAAACTTCACTTCAATGAAGTAGAACATATAAGGATACCAAAAAAAGAAAAAAGAAGAAGAAGTAGAACATACAGTACCTCACCCCATAGTATCTCTGAAATCTGAATAGAATTTCTCTATTCATATTGCATCGTTTTTCCTCTGCTCCCATCCATCATCGCTCGTCCATTTATTACAAACCGTTAGAAAAAAAGAAAGAGAAGAAAAACACTGTTCCACCGCTGTCAAATTAAGAAGCAGCCATGGCAGGAGCAAGCGGAGGAAGAGACTTAGAGGAAACGCCTACATGGGCCGTTGCCTTTGTTTGTTTTGTTTTGATCTTAATCTCTATAATCATCGAGCACATCATCCATCTCATTGGAAAGGTATAAGTACCATTATTTACTTAATAGTTCTAATTTATTATATAATGAGGCTTTAAGTTATTAATCACATGAAATAGTGTAATTTATTAAAATGATAATTATGTCCCTATATATATATATATATATATATATATGTATAATATAGATAGGTGTGAGTATTAATTAACAAAAAAACACGTTTATGCAAGCAGTGGTTGAAGAAGAAGCACAAAAGAGCTCTGTATGAGTCACTTGAAAAGATCAAATCAGGTTTGAGTTTGACCTGGCTATTGATTCATTACCTTACGTTGTTGAACTCTCAAATCGAGAATGCTTATATAATGATGTATGAAAAGCGTTAAGTTGGATACATATATGTTTTAATGGGTTGTTGCAGAGCTTATGTTGTTGGGGTTCATATCGTTCCTCCTAACGGTAGGACAAGGTCCAATATCAAGGACATGTATATCAGAAAAAGTTGCAAGGACATGGCACCCCTGCAGCAATGAGGAAGAGACCAGAGACTCGTCAAATGAAGAATCAGAAAAAGAAATCACTGGTCGCAGATTACTTGCCGCGTTCTTTGGTTCGTATGAGGAAATTCCTCGACGTGTTTTGGCGGAAGGAGGAAGCGACAAATGTCCCGAGGTGGGTACCCGTTCTGTTATTGTTTTCATCATACACAATTTTTTACCATGTTTTCAAATAGGATTGGTGTTTGTCTGTTTAAAGTATGGGTTTGATAAAGAGTTATCTTGTACGAAAAGTGATTATGTAATGTTATAGAGATTTGTTTTGCGTGCCTTAATTTTTTTTTTTTTTTTGCTTCAAAAAGTGCGAACCTCACAAAAATATTGTGTGTCTCGTGCGACATGATAGATGCAAACTCCTTAAAAAATATATAATTGTGTCATTTGAGATAAAGAGATACATAATGAAAATTATGAGTGAAGAAAATGAAGTTTTTTTTAATTTAAATTTTAAATAAAAATATTATTTATAACTAAAATTATAAGTGAAGAAAAATATTTTTCCCTAAAAATATTATTACTATCATTATTACTTGATCATACATGCAAATTGAAATGAGAAATATAACCATCACGAATTTGTGTGCCCCATTATTTTATTTTTCCTTATGTACAGGGCTATTTTTGAGTTTTGAACCTATTTTGCATTTGTTGATATGTTCGTAAATATTGTCTATCAATATCATGTACCCTCCTGTTTCATGAATCAATGAAAACGATTGTAGTTTTAATTTCTTTGGAAATAACATCAGTCTTTCAAAAAAGTCTTTTATATATTAAGATATAATAATACAATAATGATACGTACGTACTATATATCGTTGCGTTCTTTCTTCTATGGTTGTTCCTTTTAAATCAAAGGCTTGTGGGCCAAGGTATGAAAAGTTTTCTGTATAGGAAGGAAAGACAATGCTAATCAGATAGAGACAAAATGTCAAAACAGCATTAGGCATTATGTCCAGCTCAACTACTTCACGGAAAGGGTCAACAAAAGCAGAAATTAAAAAAGAAAGAAGAAAGAAGAAAAGGAAATTAATGAAAAAGATTGAGAACGAAGGTGCATGTGATATACTAAAAATATATATTACTGTTATGATTCACTTATTATTAATGTGCAGGGTAAAGTCCCGTTTGTGTCATCGGAAGGTATTCATCAACTCCATACATTTATCTTCGTGCTGGCTATTTTTCATGTCCTTTACTCTGTTCTCACTATGGCTCTAGGAAGATTAAAGGTAATTAATGAAGATATATTTCAATTTTCTTTTACTAAATTATATGCCTCCCTTTCTATATATATCTCCGAGTTACTTACTTGGTTGAATTGTGACTCAATAGATGAAAAGGTGGAAGCGATGGGAAGAGGAAACCAAGACAGCTGAGTATCAATTTTCAAACGGTTAGTCGCTTGTTTGTGTTTGAATAAATGTTACACACATACGGTATAGAATTATATATGGTGCGCACATGCTCATAATTGTATATGTGCATGTTAGGGAACTCAAACTCATTTATTAGGCGCCTTGTGTCATATCACAGATCCCGAGCGGTTCAGATTAGCGAGGCAGACGTCGTTTGGGAGAAGACACTTGAGTTTCTGGACCAAAAATTCTGTCCTTATTTGGATTGTAAGACAAACCTTTTTTTAATATATATGCTCTTAGTTTTCTGAATACATTAAGAAACATCCATCTTAATTAAAAGACTATTCTAATGACAGTACTCATATATATGATTAAAATAATATGAAACTCTTTTAGTTTGTCTCTACTCAATCGTTTGAAACTAGCCAAAGTTTCTATTGACAAATTTATTTTTATTTTTTTTCACCAAAGAAAAGGAATCTTTCTTTTTGTTCCGGCCAGCCAGTCCATTATGAAAAACCTACATCCAAGGGCTGACGGAAGCCCCCTCCCTCTTGAAGAGGAGGTAACGTCCTCAAACGTGATACTTTATTTTTCATGCACAGGCCGTCACTGTACATTAATAATGGCTGCGTCTGTTTTGTTCAAGCAAGACAGAGTATAATGGCTAGGTTGTCCCATCCTCCCGTACTCACTTCCTCACAAGGAAGCTTATTCATCACCTATAAATATCCCCTCACTCTCACAAAAATACACACACTGTTCATCATTTTTATAAGCCGTTAATCTCACCATTTGCAGAGCCACCCAAGTCACTAAAACACCTCCCTCATCATTGTTACACAGTATCCTGGGAAGCTCTATAAGAGCCTCGGTCTATACTGAAAGAATAGCTACTGAGTCTGTTAAATAATATAACAGACTTATACTTATTTAGCTTTATTGTTATGACAGTTAAGTTAGTTATTAGTTGCTCACTGTGTGTGAGTAATCTGTATAAATAGCTTTAGTGTTAACTCAATTAAACACAATGTAATTTTCCTTTTTCAATACAATACTCAGATTCTTTCTTTCATCTTATCTTCTTCCTTTTTCTAAGATACCTTTCATGGTATCAGAGCTATGATCAAGATCCATGGAAACCGAAACCGCTTCCGCACATCAAACACAACCGATACAACCAATGCAATCACCACTGCATACTTTCTCCAATCCTGTTCCATTCAAGCTTGAAGAAGGAAACTTCCTTCCATGGAAGCAACAAGCTTTAGCAACAATAAAAGGATTCAATTTGCAGAGATTCATCACTAGTGAAGTTGAAAGTTCTGCAGAGCAGCAAGATCAGCTTTTAATGTCCTGGCTACTTGCTTCGATGTCAGAATCACTGCACACCAGAATGGTAGGGTGTGAATCCTCTTTCCAGATATGGAGCAAACTTCAAGAATTCTTCACCTCTCAAACTCGAGCCAAGGTAAAGCAATTGAAGATTCAACTGAAAAATACAAAGAAAGATGCCTCCATTTCCAAATATCTGTTGGAAATCAAGAAGATCGTGGATTTTTTTGGCTGCAACAGGTTCATCTATCACTACAGAAGAACACATTGATGCAATTCTTGATGGTCTTAGTGAAGACTATGATCCTTTCATCACGTCTGTTACATCAAGAACAGATCCATACAAAGTTGGAGAAATTGAAGCACTCCTCATCGCTCAAGAAGAACGTATTGAGAAGCACAAGAAAACCGATCTTGGAATGTTGCAAGCCAATGCAGCTCAGATGAATTTCAGAAGGCCTTATGGAAACAACACTGGCAGAGGCTACAATTCTAACAGAGGCAGATTCTTTAATAATAGAGGAAGATTTGGCAGAATTGGTGGACCTAGATACAATCAACAATATGGCAGCAGTAACCAACAACATGGCAAACCACAATGCCAAGTGTGTGGTAAATTTGGGCACATAGGCTTTGAATGTTACAATCGGTTTAATCAAAGCTATGTAAATCCATTTCAGCAGCAACACAAATCAGAACATGGAGATTCTAGAATTCAAGCCAATTTTACAACTGCTGGCTCATCATATCAGGATGACAGCAATGACCTTCTCATAGCCTTTGATCCAACTTGGTATCCTGACTCAGGTGCCACAAACCACTTTACACCGGATGAATCGAATATGATTTCAAAGCCCATTTACAAAGGTCAAGAAACTGTCAAAGTAGGTAATGGTGCAGGTATGAGAATTCAACACATTGGTCACTCATTACTTCATTCATCATCAAAGTCTTTATCGTTTCCTTTAAACAATTTGCTAAAGGATCATAATGTATTTTTTGAGTTTCATGCTAATGATTGCTATGTCAAATCACAGGCTACCAAGGAGATTCTTCTCAAAGGAAAGCTTAAAGGTGGCCTGTATGCTTTTGAAGGAGCAAGAACTCTTCCACATCTCAAATTTTCTACTTCCAAGCATTCTGTTTTTCAAGCACAAACAGTTCCTCCAAATAAATGCAACTCTGTCCTTGATCTATGGCATTCTAGATTAGGACATGCTTCCTTTTAATTGTAAAATCCATTCTTACTCATTGTAAAATCCCATTTCGGAATGAAAATAAAATTGTTTGTGGTCCTTGTTGTATGGGCAAGATGCACCAATTGCCTTTTTCTTCTTCCACAAACACATATCACAATCCATTAGATCTTGTGTATACTGATGTTTAGGGACCAGCACCAGTTAACAGCAGCTATGGTTCTAGATATTACATTTGCTTTATAGATGCTTATAGTAGATACACCTGGCTTTACCCTATGAAAAACAGACCCCAAGTATACTCTTTTTTTGTTCAATTCAAAACCATGATTGAACTTCAACTCAATACCAAAATAAAGTCTCTACAAACCGATAATGCAAAAGAATACCTATCCCTCAAACCTTATCTCCAAACACATGGCATTATTCACAGATTATCCTGTCCATATATCCCTCAACAGAATGGTACCCCTGAGCGCAAGCATAGACATGTAGTTAAGATTGGTTTATCCATGCTTGCTGCCTCTTCTTTGCCCCAAAGATTTTGGGAAGATGCTTTTGTATCAGCATGCATCATCATTAATATCCTTCCTTCACCTAATCTTGGTCATTTATCCCCTCACCAACTACTGTTTGCAAAAGAACCAGATTATAGCTTTCTAAGAACCTTTGGATGTGTATGTTATCCATATCTTAGACCTTATAATGCTCATAAACTGGATTACAGATCACTTCAAAGCATATTTCTTGGTTACAGTTATTCTCATAAAGGATACAAATGCCTTACACCAAGTGGTAAAATAGTTTTTACTCCACATGTTATTTTTGATGAACACATCTTTCCTTATTAACAAACTTCACACATACCAGTTACTCAAGTTCCATCATCCACACCAAATCAAATACCTTTTATACCTATCATTACTCCTTCATTACCTTTGAGTGACTCACATATTGAAATTTCTACTAACACCATTAACCATATTGTACCTACTTTGCCATCTGTTTCAAATTCTCCTTGCAGGTCTGAAAATAATTCTAATCCATTGCAATCGTCATATCCTACTGCTGATGTTGCTCCAACTGCTGCTGCTATCACTTCAATGGCTCCTGATATTGTTCCTGATCTGGCTCCCTTAACCAATCAACATTCCATGACTACTCGATCAAAGTCTGGTATCTTCAAGCCTCGACTCTACACTGCTTCTTTAGAACCTGCTTCTGTAGATCAGGCCTTAGCTCAACCCCATTGGATCAAAGCCATGAATGAAGAATATGCTGCTCTAATGAAAAACAAAACATGGACATTGATGCCATTGCCTTCTGGTCGAAAACTAATTGGCTGTAAATGGGTTTTTCGTGTGAAGTACAACCCTGATGGATCTATCCAAAAATACAAAGCCAGATTAGTTGCAAAAGGCTTCAATCAAAGAGAAGGATTCGACTATGCTGAAACATTTAGTCCAGTTGTTAAATCTGTGACTATTCGAATTGTTCTCACCCTGGCTCTCTCTCATGGATGGTCCGTAAGACAAATAGATGTCAATAATGCGTTTCTAAATGGCACTCTTCAAGAAGAAGTTTTCATGACACAACCGCAAGGCTTTCTCTCCATCAATCCCAATCTTGTTTGCCGGTTGGACAAAGCACTTTATGGTCTCAAACAAGCCCCTCGTGCTTGGTTTGAAAAATTGAGCAGCATTCTCATCCAGCTTGGATTTCATGCCACCAAATGTGACACTTCTCTCTTCGTGTCAATCAACCACTCTTCAACAACTTATGTTTTGATTTACGTTGATGATATTTTAATCACTGGCTCTTCTTCAACAGTGATTTCCTCACTCATCAAGTCACTCAATGCTGCATTTGCTCTCAAAGATTTGGGACCTCTTCACTTCTTTCTGGGAATAGAATCGAAGCTTCTGCCTAATGGTTCACTCCACCTCTCTCAGTCCAAATATATTACTGATCTTCTTACTAAAGCAGGGTTAGCAACCAGCAAATCAATGCCAACTCCCATGGTTTCTGGTTTGAAACTGTCAGCTCGTAATGGCAGTGAATTTGATAATCCTTCCCTTTATCGATCAATTGTAGGTGCCCTTCAGTATGCAACTATCACACGCCCAGATATTACTTTCTTTGTTAATAAGGTATGCCAATTCATGCACACTCCACTGGACTCTCACTGGAAAGCAGTAAAACGTATTTTGCGATATCTTCAAGGAACTTCTCACATGGGCTTAACAATTGCTCCTTCCTTGAAACCTCAGCTCCTGGCATATTGTGATTCTGATTGGGGGTCTGATGTCGATGACAGGCGCTCTACCTCTGGGTTCTGGATCGTCTTAGGAGGGAACCTAGTATCTTGGTCTTCTAAGAAGCAAGGAGTAGTGAGTCGTTCAAGCACCGAAGCTGAATATAGGTGCTTGGCTGCTACTGTAGCTGAGCTAACTTGGATCAAATCCTTGATGTCAGAACTCAGACTTTACTCACTTGACCACACCTCGAATTTTCTGTGATAATCTCAGTGATGTTCTACTTACAGCAAATCCTCTTTTTCATTCAGGCACGAAGCACTTTGAACTTGACTTATACTTTGTTCGAGAGAAGATACTCAGCGGCTCTATTATTGTGAGTCATATTCCTTCTGCAAATCAGCTTGCAGATGGATTAACCAAAGCCATTTCCAGCTCACAGTTTTTGGATTTCAGAGACAAACTCACCCTCTCCATTCCTTCGATGCTGAGTTCGCGGGGGAATGAAAGAATAGCTACTGAGTCTGTTAAATAATATAACAGACTTCCACTTATTTAGCTTTATTGTTATGACAGTTAAGTTAGTTATTAGTTGCTCACTGTGTGTGAGTAATCTGTATAAATAGCTTTAGTGTTAACTCAGTTAAACACAATGTAATTTTCCTTTTTCAATACAATACACAGATTCTTTCTTTCATCTTATCTTCTTCCTTTTTCTCTGATACCTTTCATATACCATTGTTATTAAGAACATCCTGGATCAATATATATTTGGTTCTCTCAATCCCTGAATAGCTCACTTTTTTTCTTTAATTTTTTTTTTAAATTCGTTTGTTTTAAGAAGGATACAAGATATTCAAAGTAGCTGCTTAATCAGTCTCTCTCGTTACGTATTAATTTATTAAGCTCGTTTCTTTCTCCTACATCCGATTGCAGGTTTGTTTCTTTAGGCAGTTTGTACGGTCAGTTCCTAAAGTGGATTACTTGACCTTGAGACATGGATTTATCATGGTAAACATCTTCCTTTTTTTTTTTTTGAGAAAAACTTCAATGCACCGCGCATACCAAATCCGGTGTTCCTTTTTACTAAAAAGGAATTTTTTTTTAGGATTTAAAGAAAAATATAAAAAAATAGGTTAAAAAGGAATTTTATTTTTTCTTTTAAGTAAAAGAGAGCACATAATTCGATGCTTTAGATGCATTGAAGTTTTTCTCCCTTTCTCTGTAGTTTTACTTGCAATTTTCTTTAATCAAAAGACCATTAAATGATAGTATTATTTTGGTTTGTTGTTTTCTAAAACAAAATGATTTGGAATTTTTCATTATTTTTTTTGTATTTATTTCACCAAGATAGGCACCATACTAACTTAATTAGGATGTGTTTGGGAGTTTGGAAGAGAAGGGAAGGAAAAAGATTGAAGGGGGAGGGAGAAGAAAAAAGAAAAGAAAAATAAAGAATATTCCCTTCCCGTTGTTTGAGAATTAAAAATTTCCCTCAAATCCTCCAAATTGGGAAAACTATAATTTTAAGAGTGAAGATGATATTGGAGGATTTTATAAAAATCCTTTATTCTCTCTCCTAATTTTTTTAAACTCACGGGAAGACATAAGTAAAACTTTCTCCTTCCTTCTCTTTTCTTCTAATTGTGACTCCCAAACACATCCCAGTGTCTTTAACATGCAATGAATGTCTTTGAAATTTAACATTGATTGATTCAGGCACATTTGGCTCCTCAAAGTCACTCGAAGTTTGATTTTCGGAAATATATAAAACGATCGTTGGAGGAGGATTTCAAAGTTGTTGTAGGAATCAGGTTTTGTGCCTTATACCTCATCTCCTTTCATATTTTGGAATTTGGTGGTTCTAAATTCCTAAAAGACATAGATACTCTTAGGTCACAGTATACTCTCATGGAGAGAAATAAATATAAATTCTATTGTGCAGAAAGATTCGTTATAAAGTCTATTAATAATATTTGAATTTTTTTTATCTCTATATTATAAAAATATCGATCCTTTATAACAAGACAATCAATATCCTTGGTTAAGGTACAAAAATAAAAGTAATTAATACTTGCACATCTAAAACACTATTTAATATTTTTTTTTTTTGAGTCCTACCAAAAATTTTTTATATATTTTTGAGTAAGTAGTGTGACATACACACATATATATAATGTTTTAGTCGATATATTTTTTTATAAGTCATATTATAATTAAATGCTCTCTTCCTGATTATTGTAGTTCTCCATTGTGGTTGTTCGCACTGTTGTTTCTCCTCTTTAACACCCATGGTAGGTAAATATGTCTAATAATGCGCTGTCTAATTAAGAAGTATTTATTTACAAAAAAAAAATAAAAAAATAAAGAAGTATTTGACTCATTATTGTGATCTGTATAAATACTTACCTCTATGTACATCGTTTATGAATGGACAGGCTGGTACTCTTATCTATGGCTACCATTTATTCCTTTGTTTGTAAGCACATGCAATATGCCTACTTTATAATTTTGGTTCAATTATATATATAGTGATCGATAATTATATTAATTTATTGGGAAAAATATTTCTGGAGTTAATGCAGATAAGTTATCTGCATTTATTTTTAAAACGACGTCGTTTTGGTATTAAAATTTTAAAAAATTATAAATATAAAGACTATTATAACCCTTAAATAAATTAAAATTACAAAAAAATCATGATTTTCGTCCCAAAACGATGTCGTATTGGATTTACTGCAGATAACTTATCTGCAGTAACTGCAGAAAAAATAACCCTAATTTACTATAATCTTCTAATGTCCGCAAAATGTAGATCATCCTATTAGTTGGAACCAAGCTGCAAGTAATCATAACCGAAATGGGACTTGGAATTCAACAAAGAGGAGTGGTTCTGAAGGGCGTGCCGTTGGTGCAGCCAGGGGATCACCTGTTCTGGTTTAACCGACCTAGGCTTATTCTCTACCTCATCAATTTTGTGCTCTTTCAGGTACCTAGCTACGCTAATTTTTTTAAGCAGTTAGTTAACAAATTAAATGAGTACTATATAACATTAGAGATAATAATCACTTTTGAATTAATAATATAATAGGTATTAAGCCGTGTAAGATAATACTTACTCACGAATTTACTTTTCCTTTTTCTTTATCCAAACAGAGTGCTTTCCAGCTTGCTTTTTTTGCATGGAGTGCGGTAAGTCATTCAAATTGAGTTCATTTTTCTCCTATATTGGGCTTTTTTTTTTTTTTTTTTACCTATTAGTTCTTTTGATGAATATAAAGAATCATTTCAACCTAAAAATTTAAGTTGTTGAATGATAAATGTATTTTGGTATAAGACTCTAATTATATCTTTGAAGCCGGTCCTCAAATATCTACATAAGCTTTAATTTTTGTAGTTGATTATAAGATTAATTTTGAGTTGAGACTTAGTCAAATTCAAAACTTCTTTTCACTCTCTAAATATGATTAATCTTTAAGTTGGGGCTTAGTTGGTTATAAGCTTTAATTTTTTTAATTGGTTATAAGATTAATCTTGTATTTGATGGAAATCGAGTGAGAACCTTTTTAATAGTTTATATTATTCTCTTATAATATCTTGGTTTATTTCCTTGTTTTTATCTGATGAATCTGTTTCATTTCTTTTTTCAACCGCAGATTCAATTTGGTATTAGATCCTGTTTTTATTCGCACACTGAGGATGTGGTGATCAGTATCTCAATGGGGTTAGTCTCATTCCTACTCCGTCGTCTTTATTCAAACTACACTTTAATTTACAAGTACATATTAATGTCAAGTTTATTACAAATTAACCAATAATTAACATGGATGATTTCAGGGTCCTGACTCAAATTCTCTGCAGCTACGTTACTCTTCCTCTCTTTGCTCTCGTGACACAGGTAATTTAATTAATACTAAACCCACATTCCTTAATTTATTTTACTTTTTTTTTTTTCATTTGTCAAAGTCAACTCTTTCTAAAACAGCTCGTTATTCTCACATCCTAACATATGTACATTTTTTTTTGGTTACAAGTTACAACATATGTACATTTACCTCTATTTATTTGTCTCTCAGCTATTTTTTTATTACTGCTTGAACCCTTGAGAAATTTTGATTTAAGAATTAATCGATTGTGGGCGTGAGAAACAGATGGGTTCAACGATGAAGCCAACAATATTCAATGACAGAGTAGCAGCGGCTCTAAGGAATTGGCACCAGACCGCGAAGAAGCGCGTGAAACAGAACCGGGGGTCGTTGTCGATGACACAAATGTCAAGCAGATCGACAACCCCGACCCATCCCATGTCACCGGTCCATCTCTTGGCATACTACCGGTCCGAAATGGACAGCTTCCCTGCGTCTCCAAGAATATCCAACTTCGACTCGCCCTCGGAGACCGATTCACCCTCTCCTTCCAACTCGCACCATCACACATTGGAAATGGGTTACTTGGCACGTGATCACCAACAGCGTACCAATGAACCCACCACCCAGCATGAGATTGTTGTTGCACATGGGAAGGAATTTTCATTTGATAAAAGAACTACTACAATTGTAGGGATAGAAAGGTCTGGCCAAAGACTAGAGGATTGATCTTGGCTCTGAGAGATAATAACGTAGCCAAAGGAGTGAGTGATGTGTGTGCAATGATAGCTTGCAGTGAGATAATAACATGTAGGCTCCATTTTTTATTTATAGAGTTTATTCGTGGATAACAGAATTTTAGACCCTTAGTACTTTTTTGGGGGCTCCATGTTTGATCCATTGTTGTTATACTAGAATTGACTAATATCAATTAAGTATTTTTTCCTTTGTTTCCCTTAGTTTCCTCTTTATTGATGCCTTCTTGTGCCCTCTAGAACGTGAGTCTCTATAATAGGCCCATAACAGTTGCCTCCAGCAGCGTCAATGTTCTATCTTAAGAATAGAGATGTTTAGGAAAAGACTAGCACGAGAATAACGACGTAGCCAAAAGAAGTGACGTATGTGCATAGCAACAGCAAGTAGTGAGAGAGTAAGTATCATACATATAAGCTTTACCTCTTACATATAGAGTTTACCTTTGGGTAGTGAAAATTTGGACCATTAATAGATTTTTCGGGCCCAATGCTTGATCAATTGCTGTCGCCTCCGTTACACGGACACGCGAATTTTTTTGAAATTTACGTGTCGGACACGTGTCCGACACGGACACGCTCGGACACGCTTCCGACACGCGGTCAACATTTGAGGACACGCGGTCAACTCTCCGACACGTTCCGACACGCGGTCAATATTTGGGGACACGCGGTCAACATTTGGGGACACGCTCGGACACGTTTTTTTTTTTTTTTATTTTTTATTTATTTATTTATTTTAAATCTTAATTTTATTTTGTTAACTAAATATAAAAGAAATAATTTATAAATTAATTTTTTTCTGTTATAAAATTTGACATTAAAAATTAACAAACTACGAAAAATTATTTATATTTATATTTATCTTATGAAATTTAAATATTTAATTGGTTATATGACTTATTATGGACTCTTATATGTATTAAATATAAATCATATTATATATATTAAAAATTTTATTTAATATCAAAACGTGTCCCAACGTGTCCAAATATGACATTTTTTAGAATTAACGTGTCGGCGTGTAATGTCGTGTCGTGTCGTGTTCCGTGTCCCGTGTCCCGTGTCCGTGTCCGTGCATCATAAGATGTCACACTAGGACTAGTATCAATTAAGAATTCTTTCCTTTGTTTTCCTTAGTTTCCTATTTACTGTTGTCTTTTTTGGATCTTCTAAAATATGGGTCTCTAGGATGGGCCATAAAATTACAAATAATTAAAACAAATATAACCAAGGAAAAAATGATGATGATGCTTGTCATATTTTGGAGGACAGCAAGAAATTTGGAATGGATTGTTTTTATTAAATCCTTGTGATGGTGTTTTATTAGTTTGTATAAATGGATTATTATGTTAAATTGATTTATTATTATGTCTATAAAGCAATTGCACAAGTCTGCTCTTTTTTTTCTCTTGGCTAACATTGATTAATTGGCTTTCAATAGTTGGAATTGAATGTAAAAAGACGATACTTTTACATTGTTAATAAAGCTCATATCTATGATTGAATTTCGTTCACGTACCCATTTCCCCCCCCACACAATTCCAAGGCCTCATATAGAATTGTTTTATGTTAACATGGATTGAAGTGGTTTGATGTAGTGTAGCTGCCAAAACCAAAGGTCTTTCTTAATTTGTTGCCTTCATGCCCCAAGATGTTTTCTTTTTTGATTTTATTCATCGGTTTATATGAGTTATATATAAAGCTTTTCCTATCAAGTTTTAACACAACCGAGTTCTTAAAAATTCAAAACCTTTGATTAAATTGTAACAACCCTTAATATTTCATCAATGGGCTTGGTGGTTTCAAGATGTTTCTTTTGCTTTGCTGTGTTCCTTGAAAAAAGAAGAATGTGCAATGTAGAAGTTTAGGTGTAACAGACGAGAAACACATTAACAGCTAAACGACAAGAACAACATTGTCGTTATGACAACCGCTGTTTGACTCTTGACTCTTTAGTTGGATCATTATTCTGGTTACTTCCTACTTACTAACTGATATGGTGTACCCTTACCATGTGACCTCTCTGCTGGTGCAGACAGGCATAAAGTAGTAGTATACAATAATTGTGCACTTCAACTCAATTTCTCTTTTCAACATATTTATGTTGATAGAAAAGACAAACTATGTATATATTGCTGATTTATACCCCTTCCTAAATTTAAAATTGCATTTAGCTCGATCATGTCTCATATTAGGTTTTATTCTACAACATTAATGAAGATCACCCTAGTTTTCTAAATGGCAGCGATGAATAGATATTATATTATGATTTTTTGTTTCGTAAAAAATAAAAATGTTTCAAAATCAAATTAAAGTCCAAATAGATGAAACAAAAAAGTTTAGGTGATACTTTCTTTAGTTTTTTTTGCTGATTTTTTTTTATGCTTTTGCACTTATATAATCACCTATAATATAATTAAAGGCAACTTTTGAAACAACTATATTTTCTTTCCTCTATAATATTTTTTCTCTCACTCTTCTCTCCATGAAAGAGAAATAATGTAAAAGACCAACAAATATATATTAAAACACTAGTCGTCACACAATGGGCGTAGCTCAGTTGTCAACAGACATAATAAAGCAGGGAGAGAACTTGAATTCGATTCTCACCAAATATATTTTTGGGGAGGGGCGAAGAGTAACTTTAACTGTGACTAAACCCTGACTTAGGATTTGTCTCATAACCGGCTCAAAGAGTTGAAATTCGTGGAGATACTTGGGAGACCGACTCGCCTCAAAGAGATAAATATGGTTAGTATGAAAAGAAACACGGTCCTCTCACTTAAAATTATGTATTCAAACTTTTTTTTATCCACAAAAACAAAAAAATGTATTAAAACTTTTTCTCTTAAAGATCTAAAAACAGTTGAATCCCTTATTACTAACGGCTCTTGGGCAAAACAAGACCTGTATAGTGATGAGTCTCCAATTTATTATGTATTAAAGGTTAATATGAGTATAAATTGATTTAAAGTAATTAATGTTATGAGAATTATAATTAAAGTGTTATTTTATTCTCAATAATATTCTCATAAAAATTCTTATATTTTGCAATAATTTTCAGCTCAATAAAGAGATAAATTGGAGAGCTCAAATGGATTTTCTTTGGATTTTTGAATCATATAATTCATTGAAGATCTTCTTGAATTTTCCTTTGAATATTTTTACGGGAAGTTTTCCCTTAAATATAAAATGGAAGATTTGAAGGATTGAATTAAAGATATGATTGGAGATTCTAGTGAAGATTCCATTGAAGATATTATGAAAAATTAAAAGACATGGTTTCATCACTATAAAAAGGAAACTCTTGCAACAAAGGAGGCTAGCATATTCAGAGAGAGAAGGAGGAAAGAGCGAGAGATGGAGATTTTCAGAGAGAGAAGCTTGAGGGAGATTGAGCAACATTGATTCTTCTTCTTCTTTTTCATGACTTCTTTTATTTCTTTATTTTGTTTAAGCTAACTATGTCTAGTTAATTTTCTTTTGTAGTTAGGAATTAGGATTATGAATCCAACGTGGATCCTATTTGTGGTTTAAATTTGTTTCTTTAATAAATTATTTCAATTATTTGTGTTTTACCTTGCATGAATTTCTATATCCTTGTACGAATTGATCACTCTTATAAGGATTTGAGGGTTAGGGCTCACAATAGACATATTAAATTTTAATCCTGACAGGGGTAAAATACCAATTCTTGCATGATCTAGACATATGCTTGCTTGGGTTGCAAACTTAATAATTCATGAGTGGAATCAATCTTATACCCATTTAAAAATTTATTGGTGACTAGATGGAATCAACACAAGAAAAGAAACTTACAAGACAAATAGGAAGAAATTATAAGATAGAGAGAAAAAGAGAACAAGTCAGATATTGTATTATTCGGTGTAAAAGAATACAAGTCATACCACCTCTATATATAGACGAAGGTGGAGGAAGAATACAAGCTCTTCATCTATATATTCTACGGTAACAATACACTTAATCTCCCATAAAATGTAGTAATGTCCATTTGTAACATTCCCCCTTGGATACTACTGCGCTAAGTCTATGCCTCATTAAAACCTTGCTAGAAAAACCCAATGGGGAAAAAAACCAGTGAAGGAAAAAGAGTACATGACATACGCTATCAAACATCGCAAAATCATCCTCATTAAAAACCTCTAGCTAAGAAAAATCTTGTAGGAAACAAACTTAACAAAGGAAAAATAATACATAATTATGCCTTCAGGGCTCTATCCTTAAAGTATGAAATAATTAATTTGCTCCCCCTGATGAAACTAACTTATTAAGTTTGTACATACCTATTCCACATACAAATTTCTTAAATGTGGAAGTAGGCAGGGATTTAGTGAATAAATCTGCAAGATTATCACTAGAGCGAACCTGATGGATATTTATTTCATCATTCTTTTAGAGTTCATGTGGGTAAAAGAACTTTGGAGAAATATGTTTAGTCCTATCACTTTTAATATACCCATCATTCATTTGTGCAATGCAAGTTGTATTTTCTTCAAAAAGGACAATGGGGGATTATTAATCGTGGGTAAACCACATGAAACTTTAATGTGTTCTTTCAAAGATCTTAACCAAACACATTCTCGAGCAGTTTCATACAATGCAATAATTTCAAAGTGATTTGAGGAAGTATCAACTATATTTAATTTTACAGACTTCCATGAAATTACAGTACCTCCACAACGGAACATATATCTAGTCTCTGTAGCAATATGTGGATAAGACATATAGCCAACGTCAAAATATCCCACCAATGTAAAATTTTGACCTTGAGACATGGATTTATCATGGTAAATGTCTTCTTTTCTCGCTAGTTTCACTTGTGATTTTCTTCAAACAAAAGACCATTAATTAATAGTATTGTTTCAGTTTGTAATTTTCCAAAACAAAATGATTTGGTTCATTTTTCTTAGTATTTATTTCACCTAGGAACTCAGCATGCGGGGGGATTACATT